TACGCTACCAACACTCTAGAGATTACGATGAACCAGAAATGGAACTGAACTCATCATATAAATACTGTGGCTACAACAGTAGGTCAGAGGGTAGGAATCCTGTAGAGATTAACTCACTTCCTGTACCCCACAACCTCCAAAGCCTGTCCATCATCCACAGTGCACATGTCAGGCGTCTGATAGAATATTCCCCACTTTCCTGGATGAGTGAACTGCCATCCACACTCACAAAGATTGACACTATCTAGAACAAAGCAGCCCACTTGAATGCAACTACATTCACAAACTTCCACTCCCTCTACCACCAATGTTCAGAAGCAGCAGTGTATTATCCACAACATGCACTGCAGAAATTCGTCAAAGCTCTTCTGATAGCGATTCCCAAAAACCCCATCCAGAAGAACAAGGCAACTGGTACACACAAACACTACCACCAACAAGTTCTCCTCCAAGCCACTTACCATCCTGACTTGGAAATATATCTCCATTAGACCAGAAGAAATAGGAACAGATGTAGGCCATTTGGTCCCTCAAATTTAGTCTGGCATTCAATAAGATCATCACTGATCCAACATTCCTCACATCCACTTTCCTGCCCTTTCCCCGCACTCCGTCCCTTCAGTATTGTTATGTCAAAATCCAGGAATTCCCTCTTGAATGGCATTGTGGGTCTGTCTACATGGATTTTAGCAGTTCAAGAAGGTAGCTCACCAGTTTGTCAAGGGCAACTAGGGATAGATTACAAATTCTGGCCCACCCAGCAACACTCAAATTCCATAAATGAATAAAAATGGAGAAGCATTATGCAAATAAGTTATTCTATTTACTTTCTCTGAGCCTGACAGACCAGTTACATATTTCTAATATTTTCTGTTTTTGTCTTATTTAAGTCAATAGCAAGATTTTCTTGTAACCGCTCTTAAAAATTCTCCACATTTTGGGACCTCATCTCAAATCTTTCCACACCTCAACCTCCCTCTCCTCTTTCAGACTTCAACTCTAACCTATCACAAAATGCTTAGCCACCTGCGATTTTTTTTAAAAGTCTCTGCAATTTGTAATTATTTTTAAAACTGTTGCAAAAGACTGCTAAGCATTTGCGTCAATTATAAACGTAATGATGTAATTTCCTTGTATGCCAGTTCTTTGTTATTCATGCAGGATAGGGGCATGGACCTGCCACATCTAACACAAAAATGTGGATAGTCTAGAATAGACACCACTGTTTGCTCTGAAGGTTTGTGCAATCCTGTCAATTGGGGGAAAATGTCTTTAGAAAGTAAATAAATAAAATCAGGTCTGGGACTAATCTCACACATGTACATGAATTCAGGGACTAACAAATTCATGTGTAATAAGTGAGTGTCAAACTAGCCTCCAACCACCTCAACCATGTTCATATGCATCACTAATAGACAGGGTGGTAAGAAGGCATTTAGCACACTTGCCTTCATTGCTCAGATCTTTGAGTATAGGAGTTGGGACATTATGTTAAGGTTGTATGGGACGTTGATGAGGACTCGTCTGCTGTACTGTGTCCAGTTCAGGTCTCCCTGTTATAGGAAGGATATTATTAAGCTGGAGAAGGTTCAGAAAAGATTTACCAGGATGTTGCCAGAAATGGAGAGTTTGAGTTATAAGGAGAGGCTGGATAGGTTGGGACCATTTTAAATGGAGCGTAGGAGATTGAGAGGTGACCTTATAGATAGAGGGATATAGATAAAGTGGATAGCAGATGTCTCTCCCCTAGGGTGGGAGATTTCAAGACTAGGGGGCATATTTTTAAGGAGAGAGGAGAAAGATTTGGAAAGGACATGGTGGCAATTTTTTACACAGAGATTGGTTCGTGTGTGGAATGAACTTCCAGAGGAAGTGCTGAATGCAGGTACAGTTACAATTTTTAAAAGTCATTTAGATAAGTACATGAATAAGAAACCTTTGAAGGGATGTGGCTCAGGCACAGGTAGGTGTGAGTAGTTTAGTTTGGGATTATAATCTGCATGGACTGGCTGGACCAAAGGGTCTGTTTCAGTGCTGTATGATTCGATGATTCTAAGAAACACTGAGCCAGATGATCAGAAACAGCAACAACAGGAAGAAAGTTATGGCTAAAAGCCATGTGGCCAGACAGAAAACAGAGGACAATCCAAGGAGCTGGAGGGTGAAGATAATCAGAGGATAGATCCAGACACCAAACAGAAGGAGACACAAACAAAACAAGGAAAACACAGAACTCTGTGCAGAAGTGACCTGCTGTTAGGTCAGTTTTTCTATTTGACAGTAAAAGAAAGACAGGATCTCATTTCAATACTGTGTGAGCTGGTTAACAAAGGTCTAAAACTTAGAAAGTTATGCTGATTGCCTCGAGATACTGAAGAGCTGGATATTTTCTCAGAAATGGTTGGTCAATTGGAAAGAAATTCTGGAAAATTACACCATCAGGACAATCAAGACCTGATAGAGACACAATTAATGGAACTGTACCTTGTTGATCATAGCCATGAAACTCAAAAGGTGAAGGTATTTTCTAATCAATCTTTTCAGAGATGTCATGACACCCAGCAGTCATCAAGACTCCTGACCTACTCTGTGTGCATATAAAACAGCATATTGTGTAGCTACATTAATGTGGAGAGTGATATGAATGCTTTTGGCTTAAGATGCATCTTGCTGGCATTGATTTTATGAAGTGAAATGTTCCTTTTTATTAGCAGTAGTATTTGATTGTTAATTCATGTTGTTTAAGGAGAAACGTCTTCAGCCAGAGAGTGGTGAATCTATGGATCTCACTGCCACGGAAGGCTGTCGAGACCAAGTCATTGAGTATATTTAAGACGGAGATAGATAGGTTCTTGATTGTCAAGGGGATCAAGGGTTACGGGGAGAAAACGGGAGAATGGGGTTGAGGGAACTTATCAGCCATGATTGAATAGCGGAGCAGACTCGATGGGCTGAATGGCCTAACTTCTGCTCATATGCCTTATGGTCTTATGGTTGCTATTTGTATTGGTTCTGATTCGTGCTAAAATAAAAGCAGCAAAAATTGGAATGTTGTAAGCCATTTCTTCAATTTGTTTTTTGATTTATGCCTTTTCAATGCATTTACAACAATACTAATTGTCACTATCAGTACTTAATCGCTTTAACCATCTAGCATTAACCCAATGCTACTAAAATTATGTGCCTCTGCAGTCATCAAATGTACTTTCTCACAAAACTCCAACTTATTACATATAAACTGTAACACCTGCCACACTGGAATTGTTGCACATGCCATCACAGCACCTACTCCATTTGCAAACACGTGAGTTGTTTTGTATATAAAACCCTACAGATATTAATTAATATAAATCTGACCAGAAACTTCCAATTAATTAAGGTTAGGCCACATAACTGTTGGACAGAAGAGTTTTTGACAAACAGCATTTCAAAACTGCTTAATCTGGCATACTTCCACCACTAATAATCAATTAAAATGATTGTTTTTCTTTCTTTGAAAGTGATTGTTTCCCAAGCCTGAATTAACAGGATTTTGTTTACTTTTTTTTCCATCTCCTGTTAAACTGAATGGCAGGTGGTGGATTACGATGAGCATTTCCTATCTCTCACAGTCACCTCTCCATAAAGGCCACCGTTGATGACACAATCCAACAACAGATCTGATGTGCCAGTACAGCCTTCTACTAATCAATGGCAGTGAGTTATTGATCACAAAGATCTCCCCAGGGCAACAAAATTGTACAGAGCAGTTGCCTGGACTGCAGTGATTCCCGGACCTCCTTGAAGCCAGGTCTTTTCTTTTCTATTCATTTGTGGGACGCGGGTGTCGCTGCCCGGGCCAGTATTTATTGCCCGTTCATAGTTGCCCTTGAGAAGGTGCCTCCATGAACTGCTGCACTCCACCTGCAAACATAATTCCAGCAAAATCATCTTCAATGTTCTGACCACCATGTCCATGTGACTAAAAGGGGCCTCCTCACCAGGTCCTCAAATGGCAAATGTCCCAGTGTAGGGTAAAGAAAACATTCAAAGACACTCTGAAGTTATTTCCGAACTACGGCAGCAGTGAAGCTAATGTCTGAAAGAAGCTATTCAGATTGCCAACAACTTGTCCATTAACTTGTATCATGCTTCAAGTGCTAGCACTTTAAAGATGACACCAGTGTTGGATAAGTTGTTGGAGGGGATTCTGAGGGACAGTGTTTACACGTACTTGGGAAGGCAAGGACTGATTAGGGATGGTCAACATGGCTTTGTGTATGGGAATTCGTGTCTCACTAACTTGATTGAGTTTTTGGATGAAGTGACAAAGAAGATTAATGAAGGCAGAGCAGTGGACGTTGTCTATATGGACTTTAGCAAGTTGGTCAACGTGGTTCCACATGGTAAACTGGTGAGCACAGTTAGAACACGTGGAATCCAGGGACAGCTAGCCATTTGGATACAAAATTAGCTTGAAGGTAGGAGACAGAGGGTGGCGGTGGAGGGTTGCCTTTTAGCCTGTGACCAGCTGTGTGCCACAGAAGTTGGTGCTGGGTCAACTGCTTTTTGTAATTTGTATAAATGATTTGGATGTGAATATAGGAAGTATGGTTAGTAAGTTTGCAGATGACACCAAAATTGGTGGTGTAGTGGACAGTGAAGAAGGTTATCTCACAGTACAACAGTACCTTGATCGAATAGGCCAAAGGGCCAAGGATGGCAGATGGAGTTTAATTTAGATAAATGTGAGGTGTTGCATTTTGGAAAGGCAAATCAGGGCAGGGCTTATACACTTAATGGTAAAGGCCAGGAGAGTGTTGCCGAACAACAAGGAGACGTTGAGGTACAGGTTCATAGTTTCGTGAAAGTAGAGTAACAGGTAAATAGGATAGTGAAGAAGGTGTTAACTGGCAAAGCTATTCCAACTTCTGGGTTAATCCTTTCAAGCCAACAATTACAAATTGTATTAACCTTTGTCAGTGTTAAATTATTATGGATTTTTACAAAAAGGCACTCACAGTCACGCAATGGATAAAGTTCATTCGATTCCGCCCAGTTGGATTGACCTGTGCGAGTAGCACTTCTAACTCGTACCCAGTAAAGATCTCTAAAAGTCGTAAAAGTCCATGACAGGTCACATGACAGAGTTGAAATATAGATGCAGTGTTCCACTGGAATGAATCTGTTGGCATTCCTGCTTTAAATAAAATAAGACAAATTTACCCAATGCATCAAATTCACTTGAGGTTTCCATATGCTGCGTTAGCAAAGGCAAATTTAGAGGAAAATGAAGCAATTCTCATTTAAAATAAGGAGGTAAAGTTTAAGTTATTGTAAGATTGTTAAAACCGATTGTGTATAACAGCCAAAATTGCATGTGCCCTCAGAAATTCAGAACTCAAATCCAGACTTAGAAATTGATGTTTGAGACATAGGCTTTTGTTCACTAAACCCCCTGTGATTTCATTCATGGAGAGTCAAGAGCACATGCCATCTGCAGGTCAAGTGGGATTCCATAGGTCAATGGAACCAGGGGCATGCAATTGTTAATCAGGCCCTAGATTAAAGTCATACTTTTGTCCTTATTTATATGCTAAATTGATTTTACATAACTACATTTACAGCATTAATTAACAGGCCTTACTGACATTATAAAGGCAAAGGAGTTAATTGGAGCAAGAGAGTTTCTCTGCACAGGATAAGAAGCTGTGAGTTGCAAACATGTGGTGCTACAGCAAATTTACATGGAGAGTTCCATGATGAGTGTGGGCATGGGAATTTGCAACAAATAAAGTGGATATTAAATGCACACAAATCAGTAATTAGTTGTAATTTTGGACATGAAAATGAGAAACCAAAAGAGGCAGAGAAAAGAAAATAGTCAATTGGAAGAAAAACTGAGACACAGTCTTTAAAAAGAAAAGCAGCATCCGTTCCTATAATGTCTTTCAAAACAGCAGGGTGGCCCAAATTAATTTACAGCCAATGATGCCTTAGACATCTTTGCCCATGCCTGTGAAACACTTTGCCATTCTTGCAGGGGTGTGTGCCTAAGCAGAGATCAGGACTTTTAAAAGCATGACTTGCCTTTATATAGAATCCCTACAGTTTGGAAACAGGCGATTCAGCCCACTGGGTCCATGATGACTCTCCAAAGAGCATCCCATCAAACCCATCCCCCATCCTATCCTTGCATTTCCCATGGCTAATGCATATAACCGACACATCCCTGACACTAGGAACAATTTACCATGGCCAATTCACCTAACCTGCACATCTTTGGATTGTGGAAGGAAATAGGAGCACCTGAAGGAAACCCATGCAGACACAGGGAAAATGTGCAAACTCCCTACATTCACCCGCAGGTGGAATCAAACCCAGGTCCCTGGTGCTGTGAGGCAGCAGGGTTAACCACCGAGCCACCGTGCCACCCTTGAACTAGCAACCTTGAACAAGAAACAAAATGCCCAAGAAGCTGTACAAATGGAAGGCCAAGCTAGATTAAAAGGATTGATCAAACATCTGGTGAAAATGATTTTTTAAGAAATGGAAACATGGAAACTTTATCACTGATGGTGCTATAACGGCGAACTACAAAATCAAAAAATGTGGGCAAGATAGAAGGCTGGAGGAGATTTCAAAGAAAGGTGAGGCATGGCAAGACAAAGATAAGTAAGTGTTTTTGTCTGTGGCTGTTTCACCTTAATTCCCTGTCATAACTTTGACAGAGTTTGTTGGAATCCCAATGGAATGTTTGTGAAAAAAGATTTTCAACTATAAATTCTGCAAATTCTATAAAGGGATATAGCAACTGTCTCTGGCAGGAAATCAGAAAACTCTGACTGAGCTGAGGAACAGGAAGCTAAGATGATTAACAAGTACCAAAGCTGAAAAGTGAGTAGGACAAGATACTGCAGTTTGAAAAAGCCAGAGGTTATGATCAATACTTTCTCATGAATTGTTCATGTCACCATTGAAGGTGGTTGGATAAGTTGTTAGAAAAGCAGCTGGCGTTGTTTGTATTATATATAAAAATAAGTCACGAAGAGTAGAAAAAGGAGTAAGTCAAGCAAAATCTTAATAAATACTGCTTAGGCTGAAGTACTGTAGCCAATTATGGACAGTATGCTTTAGGACAGACTGCAAGAAGACAGAGGGGTTTTACTTGACTGGTACAGGGATGAGGGGCTGCAGTTACATGGAGACAGCTGAGAAGCTGGGACTGTTCTCCTCAGAATAAAGATGGTTAAGGTATTAAAGATTTAATAGAAGTATTCAAAATCACTAGAACATAGGTTTGAAGTAATTGCCAATGGAAGCAGGAGATCTTTTTGTTGCACAGAAAGTTGTTGTCATTAAAATGTAGAGAGATAGTAGGAACTGCCGATGCTGGAGAATCTGAGATAACAAGGTGTAGAGCTGGATGAACACAGCAGACCAAGCAGCATCAGAGGAGCTGGAAAGCTGACGTTTCGGGCCTAGACCCTTCT